CCGGCGCGGGAGCTGAAACAATGGGTGCAAGTTTACTCAATATATCCCCAGCTCCCCTCCCCCGCCGCCACCACCACCTCCCCCAATGTAACGCAACTCTTTCCTGACCCCCCCCGCCCTATCCACACGCATTAGCAATAGATCAAAGGGGGTGGAGGCGGGGGGGGGGGCAACACCCTTTAAAGAATCGCTATCTTAACTTTATTTTATTTCAGGACCTACCGACCTCTCGCATTCACCACGCAGGGCGTTGCGGCCCTTGGCACGCTGGGGTTGTTTACTTTTTTTTTTGTCGGGCCGCATCGCAGCTGCTCGTTGTCGATTGGCAGCTCATCCGCTCCTGTGCTGTTCTCCGTCGCGTTTCTGGGTGGGACCGCGCGCTGTCCGACGTTTCGCTGCACGCGCCGGGGAGCAGCTGCCAAAATCGGTCTGCCATCGTTCGCGTTGGCCATCTCCTCCTGGGTCTTCGCCGGGGATCCCGCGCCCTCGTTAAGACAAATCCGTCATTACCATCATCATCGTTTTATAGTAACAATTTGTAATACGAGTATGGCGCAACACATTACGTTGATATGTAGCTCCCCACCCCCCCTGCCCTTTCTTCATGAGCCGTACCACCAGCACAGCAGCTGCCCGGTTGTGCAGACGGAGAAATCTCCCTGCAGGCACGTGGGGCGAAACGTCGGACATAGTGCCGAACAACCCCCCCCCCGATAACAGAAAACGCATCGGAGGGCGACGCAGCAGCAGCGGCGGCACTGGGGAACCCGCGAGGCGATTGCGATGTCTCATTCACTTCGTGGCAATTCCACGAATGTTGTGCACCACCTGTCAGATGGCGCCATGACCCTCCCTGCTCACAGCGCGACATCGCCAGCGGTGGCATCGAACTTTGGTGGGCACGGGGGGGGGGGGGCGGGCCCCCACACCCCGCTGCTCGCAATGGAATCAGGGGTCATCTGTCCAACTTCCACCATCACTGCCCCCCCCACCCACCCACCCCGTCCAAACTCTTCGTACCGCTGCACTCACCCAGGGACGCAGTTGCACCGCCTGCACACTCGATAGCCGCCCGCACGATTACGCCACTAGGTTGAGCTATCGCTTGTGGCGGCCAGGCCGCTTTTTTTCTTTAAAACAAAACAAAACCAAGAGCTGTGGAGCTCAGTGGGCCTTGCCTGGTAAAATAACAACAAAAATAAAACTACTTTAGTTGGGTGCCCCCCTTGACAGCCACCGTGAGAGACAAATCAAATATTGGGGCCCTCCCCCCCCTCCCCTCCAACATGACCGATTGCCGCACCCGCTGAGCTGACCACGTCGTTTGTTGCGCCACCGCACTGGCCTGAACGATTGCGTTACGCGGGCAACATTTTAGATGCTCAGGAGCAGATCCGGGGTGGGGGTGGTGGGTGGATGGGACTGGGGCAATTGCCTCCCCGTACCGCCCTTCCCACCCTATTGAGACCCCGAAAGTCGGTATTGTGTTGACATTTACCAGATTAAAAATGCAAACGGATTTCATTTTTTACGTTAAAAAATATATCTAATCTGTGTTTGTTTTTTTTTTACTTCTCACCAGCCACACGGCCTTGTGGGAGTGCACGATTACAGCAGAATTGGTTCAGCGCAAGCAAACTTCTGGGACCGGTTTCGACATTCAGTGTCTCATCATCGTCAGCAGCAGCAGTGAGCCTTGCTCGAAACGATGCTGATGAGCCGCCCAGGTCAAGGGCGACTTTCGAATGTGACATTTCCTGATTTCCGATTTAAAATTAAATTTTGCAAAAGGAGAATTTCTCACCTAAGTTTTGTTGTTGGTTTCTTTTTTTTTACCCGATCCGTTGCAAGTAACCACCTCGTTCGTTCACGCGTTTGCGTGTCAGCGAAAGTGGTGACGAGATCTCGACACGAGGCGACGAGCGTGCGTCGTGGGGGGCGCCACGGTGTCTCGGGGATATTAACTGCCTCGCCAGGTATGCAGGAGGTCGTGGGTTCGATCCCGACCCTGACGCCTGCTGCTGCTGCTGCTGTATACGTGGAGTTTCCGGGTCCTCCGGGTGTGTCCCTCAAAATTTTGAATAAACAACATCGCGCGTTCAGAGTTTCTCTGCTGCTGCTGCTATGAATGTCCACGTGACGATGAGCCACTTCGTTGAGCTCTCGTTTGCTATGGCCAATGTCGCTTCTGAAAAGAAGCTACATAGCTCAGTGGGCACCTAACACGTGGTAAAACGAAAATAGTCTCGTTCAGTCTTTCTTGAGGCGGTAAAAGCGCACGGATGTTACGTCACTTCCTATTCACGTGTTTATCCGAAATAATTTTACGCAAACAAATTCGGATTGTCCGAAATAAATGTCATATCGAGGCAGGATTTTTTTGGGCCTTTGTTGTTGTCATTGTTATTGTTGTTGTGTCGATCCGAAAGATGGGGGGGGGGGGGCGAGGGCGAGATGCAATAAAAAATGATTGGGGAGCGTTGCGTTCGTTCAATTGCCATGACTGAAAATATTAAATATTCTTCTTCTCGGGTTCCATAGCATTAGGTTACTTTGTGAGAGCCAGCCATCGGATTTCCTTCCACTCTGCTGAAATAAGTGCTACATTGTATTCGAGTCAAAACACGTTTGGATATTTTTTTTAAATAAAAGCGTGGATAAAATGACAGTTTCTGTAAAAAAATATATAGAATGGGGAGGAGGGGGGGGGGAGTTTGATTGGGCGACGGCTCAGACACGGGCCGCGACTTCGATTATTTATTTCAGAATCAGAATCTTTCTTTAGACCAGAGGAAGAAATCCGATGAGCTATGAAGCTCTTTCTCACTGGCGTCCAGTAAGGGGGTGCGCGTTGGTAAGGTCGCACACAAATGTAAATAATCGGGCCCGGCGGCCACGTGGGGCGCCCCTACAAACGGCGACGTGGCCGGCGAGCATCCTAGCTGCGCTAAATCGGGTACGGGAAGGAGGCCCTCTCCGATCGGGCTCACTTAGCCTTAAAAAGGAGCACCCCGGTGCAGTGCGTAAACATCAGCGCTGCGGAGAAAAAAGCTACAGCCGGGCCGTGGTGCTGGCCATCACCCCACCCCACCTCCCCCCGTCACATGCCACGGTCTTCAATAAGCGCTCGCCCAACAAGCACTTGCTCTAACAGTCTGTTAAGGCTACACGGGGGAATCTTTGCCTTAGTCCACTAAAAGGTATTTGCAAGTGTCGCGTTCGGCCCCTCGGTAAAAAAAGCAAAAAGTTCACCTGACCCCCTGATTGTGAAAATTGTGTTCAACTCAAGACCAACACGTGAGCCCTCACGGAGAATATTACCCATCCAGCCTCACCAGGCGCCTGATGATGCTGGTTGTAATTACCGGCGAAAAGTCACGGTACTCGAATTGTAAATGTCGTGGGCTCACTCTCCCAACGCACCAGGCGTGCTGATGTCGTAACTAATTGGCACGTTTTGTTTACGCGACAAACCTTACCAATCGGCTCTGTCGGGTGGTGGTGGGTTTAACGACACATTTATATTTTTCGCGATCTAACCCCACAAGAAACCTTCGTTTAGGGAATGACACATTTATACGTCTTTAATGCTTGCAAACGTAAGCGTTTAGGATGCGATGAATTGCAATCGAGGGAACATGACCGGCGAGTGGCGGGAAACTGGGGAGGCTCTTCCGTCAAGTTCCGCGAGCGTCAGGGAGCGGCCATCAAAGCGCGGCAACGACCAATGGAGAGTTCCGTGGCCATGGTTTGGAGAGTTCCAACGATATCCTCTACAGTACCACACAAGGGCGAGTTTAAGAGTGACATGACATTCCCACGTTTGCCCTGCGCTTCCTTGCCACAGGGGTGCCGCGGTGGCGAGATGTTAACTACCTCGCCTGGCATACAGGAGGTCGTGGGTTCGATCCCGTGTCTCTCTCCACGTGGTCGCGTGGATTTTTCTCTGGTGTCCTCCGGTTTGTCCCCTTCCGTAATTTAGAATCAACATGCGTTCAGAGTATTTGGCTGCTATAAATGTACACACGACGATAAGCCACTTCGTTGAGCGATCATTCGTGGTAGCCAGGTCGCCCCTGGTTAAATAAAAAAATAGTTGCTGTGCGCGCATTGAGTTCCACAATCCACGAAGAGTTGAACGCATGCGTTCTCGGACAGGCAGTTTGTTCCGCTGATGTTTTGGCCAAATATTTACAGGCAATGACTTTCTATTCAACACATTAATCAAGCCCAAGTGGTCACAAATATGCATAAACTTTCAACCTGATTTCCAATATGATCCTCAACGCATAGCGTGCCGAGATCTCAACAGCGACCAGCTCTCAACACTCAGTGACCAGATCTCAGCACCCATTAACCAGATCTCAACACCCAGTGACCAGATCTCAACACTCAGTGTCACCAGATCTCAACACCCAGTGACCAGATTTCAACACCCAATGACCAGATCTCAACACTCAGTGTGACCAGATCTCAACACCCAGTGACCAGATCTCAACACTCAGTGTGACCAGATCTCAACACCCAGTGACCAGATCTCAACACTCAGTGACCAGATCTCAACACTCAGTGTGACCAGATCTCAACACCCAGTGTGACCAGATCTCAACACTCAGTGTGACCAGATCTCAACACTCAGTGTGACCAGATCTCAACACCCAGTGACCAGATCTCAACACTCAGTGACCAGATCTCAACACTCAGTGTGACCAGATCTCAACACCCAGTGTGACCAGATCTCAACACTCAGTGTGACCAGATCTCAACACTCAGTGTGACCAGATCTCAACACACACTGCTGAAAGCGCGATAGACGCGAGCAGATGGCATCGTCACTCCCACCTCTTCCTAGATGTCTGGCCAAGAGGAGGTGAGACGAGGAGGTGCAACTACCGGTGGTGGGCGCACCCTTCCGCCCAGCAGTGGCGCAAGTGCGCAATTGCAGGGCTCCGCCTTTACCTTTTCAACGCAGCCACCGCTGGAGAAACCCAACGGCAGCCTCTTTTTCTTCCACGGGCACATCATCCGAGCCGAGGCAGCACGGTGGCGCTCACAGGCAGTAACGGCGGGGCAGCTCGCCACTGTCCGTTTGCCCGTGGCGAGCCAGAACCGAAACCGTGACGTGCCCCCCGGCCTCACGAGAAGACGTCAGAATCTAGTTGTGGGGAGGTGGGGGCCAAGCAGGGCCAGGGGCGGGCGAATGACCGCGTTCGTGGCGCCGCGTGACGTCGTCCAGTACGGATGCGGCGGGGGTGGTGATGGGGTGGGGGGGGCACACAGACGGCGTTGCCGCGTGGCCAACGCGCGCCTCGACCCGTTCCGTCGCCGCCTCCTCGCGCGTGAACTCGTTCGTGACGTCAGCGGCGCGGCTCGGCTTCATAAGCCGCGCCAGAACTGCCTAGGCCACCGGGGCACCGACTTGGATTTCTGAAGCGGGGAAAAAAAAATAGATACAAACGTGAAAAGTTCTACTCGGTCGTTATTACGCAGCCCATCCCTGGATTCCCGCGACGACGTCGATGAGCAGGATGTTGAGGAGGAGGCGGAGGAGGAGCAGGAGGGCCCCCGTCACACCGGCGTGGTCCTGCGGTTCGTGATGGTCGACGTGAGCGTGTCCTGCATCTCCTTGTGCACGCAGTTGTGCGAGTGTTGCACGAATCCTCCCTCCCCGCCCACGTTCATCCCGGCAGCTCCTCCCGCTCCTCCTCCAACTCCTCCTGAATTGTTGAAGGGCCCCCCCCCGCCTCCTCCTCCTCCTCCTCCGCCGCCACCGCCGCCGCCGCCGCCGCCTCCGGCCGCCGCCACATTTCCGCCGCCCACTTGCTTCCCGCCGGCGTCGCCGCGCCCCAGCGTGTACATGGCGATGTCTCCCGCCGACGCCTGCGACTGCCCCGCCACTGCCACGGCCTGCTGGCCCGCGGCGGCCTGCAGGCCCTGCGAGGCCACGGAGGAGAAGCCCTTGGCCGCGACGGGCGAACCGTCGCGGGAGTGCGGCTGCTGCTGCTGCTGCTGCTGCATCGTCATCTGCATGGAGAGCGGCATGGTCATCTGCAGGGGCATGGTCATCTGCATCGACATCGGCATGCCCATGGAACCCTGCTGCTGGTGCAGCTGCTGCTGCTGCTGCTGCTGTTGCTGCTGCTGGTGGAGGGACGACAGCGGCGCCTCGCTCGACCGCGAGCTGGAGCGCGAGCGGGAGCGCGAGCGCGACGGCGAGCGCGAGCGGCGTCGGTAGCGGTAGACGTAGGCGGCGGGGACACGCGAGGCCGCCGCGGCCGCCGCCGCGGCCGACGACGACGACGCGGCCGACTTGCGCAGGAAGTCCGGGCGGAAGCGCGCCCGCTCCAGCCGGTGGTTGTCGATGTAGATGCGCACGGCGAGGACGCCGACCATCTCGGCGACGATGAAGGAGAGCGCCCCGAAGTAGAAGGACCAGCCGTACGAGTAGTTGTTCTTCTTCGACTGGCTTTGGTTGGGGTCGCCCACGTTGGCCGAGATGTAGACGATGATGCCGATGATGTTGCTGAGACCTGGCCCACCCGCGCCCGCCACGGCGCCGCCGCCGCCGATGACGACGACAACAATAACGACAACAACAACGAGCGGGGGGGAGTTAGGAGATTCGTCGACTGCTGCGGTTGTGGCTGCAGTGGTGGTGACAGCGATGGTGGTGGTGCTAGGTCGTGGTTTGGCAGCAGTGGTGGCGGTTGTTTCGTGGCGATGGGAATGATGGTGCCGGTAGTAATTTTGCCTGTGGTGGTTTGATGGTGGTGGAGTGGTAGTGGTTTGATGGTGGTGGTGCTGCATGGTAGTGGTTTGATGACAGTGGCTGCTGCATGGTAGTAGTTTGGTGGTGGTAGCCTGGTGGAGATGTACGCAGTGATGCCACTAAGGACGTCATCAACATGATCATGGTGGTGGTGGCATTGTAGTAGTTTGGTGGTTGTATGATGGTGGGAGTAGTGGTGGAGGTGAAGGCGCTTGAATTTTTTTGGTGATGGTAGTAATCGTGGTGGTTACACAACCAAGATGATGATGTTACCACTACCTGCGTCGTGTGGTGGTCGTGGTTGTTTGGTGGTGGTAGTAGATTGGTGGTGGCGGGAGTAGATTGTTGGTGGCGGGAGTAGATTTGTGGTGGTGGTGGTGGTGGTAGTAGATTGGTGGTGAGGGGAGAAAATTGGTGGTGGTAGTGGTAGTAGATTGGTGGTGGCAGGAGTAAATTGGTGGTGGTTTGGTGGTGGTTTGGTGGTGGTAGTTGATTGGTGGTGGTAGTAGGTTGGTGGTGGTAGTAGATGGGTGGTGGCGGGAGTAGATTAGTGGTGGTGGTAGTAGATTGGTGGTGGCAGGAGTAAATTGTTGGTGGTGGTTTGGTGGTGGTGGTGGTAGTAGATTGGTGGTGGCGGGAGAAAATTGGTGGTGGTAGTAGATTGGTGGTGGCGGGAGTAGATTGGTAGTGGTGGTTTGGTGGTGGTGGTAGTAGATTGGTGGTGGTTTGGTGGTGGTAGTAGGTTGGTGGTGGTGGTTTAGTGGTGGTGATTTGGTGGTGGTAGCAGTGGCCCTCAAGGAGTACCGCATGGGATGTGCGGTGTCATTACTAAATAACAGCCACAGCGGTTTGATGGCCACGGCGATTGTGCCGGCGGTTCCGGCCATTGTAGGTCCTACTTCGCTAACAGCACTTGCCCCTGAAAAATCTGTAAAGGCCAAACGGGGGGCGGGGGGGGGGGGGGGTGGCGGGGCATCTTTGCCTTTGGTGTGTTCGCGTGCTGCCCCACCTGCAGAGACGAAGAAGATCCCCGCGCTGAGCACAATGTTGTTCTTGGATTTGTAGAAGCGGCTCGCAGCGATGCACAGCCCCCCAAAGAGAAGCAGCGCCACGCTCAGTATGGGAAACACGCTAGAGGCTCGCACCACGCCTTGCGGGGGGGGGGGGGGGGCAGGCGGGGGGTCAAGGCGTGGGGGGCGGGGGCGGGTAACGTCATCAACGTCATCATTCAGCATCAGCAGCAGCATCACCAACGTTAGCAGCAGCAGTGGCACCGTCAGAGTTATTCAAAATTTTTTTTTCAAACTGGAGGAATCCGATGAGCTACAAAGCTCTTTTCCACAAGGTGTCCCCGTAGGGGCACGGCGTCAGAACGCTACGACGACAACAAATGTTTTGTTACATCAACTCGAAAAGGAGTGCAAAGTGTAGGGAAAGATAAACGAATCACTTGAACAAATAAAACTAAACTACCTTTTTTTTTGTACATTCCCAGGTAAATCCCACTAAGGTGTTGACTTCGATTTCAGAAGCGATGGCTCAACAACAGAGTGGTTAATCACGTGGAGATTTACGGCAGCAAAGTAATCTGAATCATCTTAAGTGCAGCCGCAATTGCCCATCATCACCATCGTCATGGCAATGACGGTTGTCCATCCCCCGCACCTGCGATTCGCACGGTTGGCTACGTACGGTGTGAAAGAAGTTCAACGTAGATATATAACAGTGGACCATCGATTACCATGTTAACATGTGTGATATGCAGTAGATCATCGATTATTGGGCGGCTTCGGGGGGGGGGGGGAGTGCCGGATTTTCAAAAACGCCGGAAAATCACGATATGATCATTATTTAAAATCGCTTATTTTTGCACATCCTTGTATGACTTTATGCTTTGAGGTGTTTTATATTTTTCGTTGTGTTTTAAACTTGTTCACGACATGAAATCGGCGTAACTAAACGTACAAATAGGCAACAATAAATATCCTACCGTAAAAAAAAAGTTATGACATTCACTGCACCGCACTTCTCGCTCCAATCTCGAAGACCCCGCACCACGGGGCGATGCATATACACGTGCAGTATTTTCACTGTTTAAGTTGTACGTAGCCTATAATGCACCGCATGGAATATCTAGCACTGAAATCAAGCGGAGCTGCTTTTCTAGATTTGAAGCTTTCGTGACTGCAAGGATCCATACTCTTTGGCTCTATTCGGTAAAGTCACGTAGGTAAAAAATAATAATAATAAAACAAAAATCACGACGTTTCGGCCACAACACAAGCGGCCTTCATCAGGTGAAGGGACCAGCCTGTCTCGAAGACTGCGCTGGAGTGAAACAGAGCCAAGCTCAGACTGCGACCTTTACACACAGCTTAAAGGTCGCAGTCTGAGCTTGTGTTGTGGCCGAAACGTCGTGATTTTTGTTGTTTTATTATTATTATTATTTTTACCTACGCGGTGACTTTACCGAATAGAACCAAAGAGTACGGAGCTGCTTTGTTGTTTGTCGTGCCGGGTGATCGCCGATCGCCGGAACCCGGTTACATCCTCCGGAGGAGGTTCCTGCCGGGTCGGCCCGCGGGACCGCCGGATAACGCTGGGAGCAGCCCGGACCATCGAGGGTCTGCTTGTGCGCATGCAGGTGCTCAAGCGGAGGTGGAAAGCTGCCGCCCGAACGTTTTAATGACGACGCTGACGGCTTGTGATGAGTGGGGGGAAGGGGCTAAGGAGGAGGAGAGTGGCGGGGGGGGGGGGGGGGGGGGGGGACGAGGGCATATTGGGGGTGGATGTTGCAAAAAGGAACAGGGAGGAGGATGGACACACTAAACTATTTTATTTGAATAGGTAAGGCCCCAATGAGCTACGCAGTTGCACCTTTTTTTCAGAAGCCACCCGGTCCTCACAAAAGTGGCTTATCGTCATCGCGCGGAAAGTTACGGCAGTATAGCCGAATGTTCTAAACGCGTGGATGTTCATTCTGAGAGTGGAGGGGTGGGGGGGACACCGGAGGACCCGGAGAAAAATCCACGCTTCCACGGGGAGAATCTCTGCACAAAGCAGTTCGTTATTTTATCAACCACTGGAGGAAGGGATGATGGGTGGAGTCACCCCCAACCCACCCACGCACCCCCCAAACCATGATTCGAACTCGCAATCTTATGATAGCGAGCCGCTCGCTCTACCACTGAGCCAACTTAATATATATAGAGGCCCGCAGAGCTTGGGAAATTGTTGGCACCGGCTGCTGCTGCTTCCTTTCCGCTCGTCTGTGGTTCCTCCTCCTGGCGCCTCTGATTCGTCATCTCTCTCTCTCTATACGAGTGTGTTTCATGTTGACATCATCATCATTAGCTTGTGCCACACAGGAATAGCTGCCGCTGGGGCGGGCGGGGTGGGTGGAATGGGGGCGGGGGGGTGTCACGTGCCGCAGGTGTGCTGCGTGGAACGCGTGGTGATGATGACGACGATGACGATTGTGACGGTGCAATACCGTGGTTCGGACTTACGCATCAGGTACTCGGCTGAGTCGAAGTCGGCATCTTCAGGAAAATGATCAATTTTCTTGCAGCGCCCCTTCAGAGAACCTGAGTGGAAGAGAGAGGATGGGGAGAGAGAGAGAGAGGGGGTGAGAGAGAGAGAGAGAGAGGAAAGAGAGAGGAAGAAGTGAGAGAGAGAGAGGGCAGAGAGGACAGAAAGGGCAGAGAGATAGAGAGAGAGAATGATGAGAGGCAGAGAGGGGGAGGAGAGCGGAGAGGAGAGCGAGAGGAAATCTCTAAAATGCAAACATTCTGACAAACACTGTAAACATGATGAAGTCAGCGTCACCATTGTCGTGATTAAATGTAACATCTTCATCGCCAACGCGATCGTCGCCTATCAAGACAACTTATTACACAATCACAAATGTTGTCATCATCGTCGTAATAGTCATCATCAAAATGGACCTTGGTTATCATAATCATCATCGTTTATATCATAATCCATATCATTATAATAACTGTAAATGATATCATCATCTGGAACAATATCATTATTCAAAATAATATCATCATCCAGGACAATATCGTCATCATAATCATCATCATCATCATCCAGAACAATATCATCATAATTGTTACCATCGTAATTCAAAATAATATCATCATCAGGGAACAATTTCATCATTATCATTATCATCTTTGTTATCATCATCATCATCATTCAAAATAATACATTCATCATCATCACCATTGTTATCATAATTCAACATGATATCATCATCATCATCATCATTCAAAATAATACATTCATCATCATCATCCAGAACAATATTGTTATCATTGGTATCATCATCATCATTGTTATCATCATTATCCACGTTCCGTCAGGGTCATCAACACAACTCCCCGATCCCCCCCCCCCCCTCCGCACACCACCACCGCACCCCACCACGGCGTGAACCACACCGCACACCACCACGATGTGAACCACACTGCACACCACCACGGCGTGAACCACACCGCATACCACCACGATGTGAACCACACTGCACACCACCACGGCGTGAACCACACCGCATAGCTACGGTGCTCCCCCCTCCTGCTCCTCCCCTCGCTCTCTCTCTCTCTCCGTGGCATCTCAATGACAGGGAGCGTGAGACGAGTGACCTTTTCTGATGAGGCGGGAGGCGCCACACAGCGTAGTCCCTCCCGGTTTAGCATGACAATGCAGGGGAATGCTCTAACACGCACACAGACAAAGATCCCCCGGATAGCCACAACAGCAACGGCAATATATATTTTTATTTTAATAATTTCTTTGTCATTTTCACCAGGTAAAGCCCACTGAGCTATATGGCTCTTTTTTTCAGAAGCGACCCGGTCACAAATGGCCCAAGTGGCTTATCATTTGTGGGAATTTATAGTAGCAGCGGGCACCACCAATTATAAATATAAAGATGATCCGTAAAGCCTCAGCAGACTGTTGTGGCAAGTGCTGTTAGCGACTAGCACCTATGAAGATCGGCATGATACACGACGGGGTGGTTGGCCAGCACAACGCCTGACCAACCCTGTCTTCCAAGTGGCGATGATTTTTTTTTATACACCGCACCAGATACTGTCCTCGTTTGAGGCCGAGTCGACCTAGAGGAGGCACAGGACCGGTTCAGATAATCGTCACGTGTTGGTGGCCTTGAGCGAGAATTGAACGTGGGTCGCCGGGTTCGTAGCACAGTGCGCTAACCGATGCGCCACCGCTCCCCACCCCCCACGCACACGCACACACACAGACACGGTCACACACAAAGAGATAAACACACACACAGACGGCCTTACACGCGACACACAAAATATACTCCTTCATATAGTCTACATAATAGACTGCTCTTAGATCAAGTCACAATGAGTCTGCATGACTCATGTTCAAGAGAGTCCTGCATTGTACATTTAATTTAAAAATATATATACTCCTTCATATAGTCTACATAATAGACTGCTCTTAGATCAAGTCACACTGAGTCCGCATGACTCATGTTCAAGAGAGTCCTGCATTGTTTATTTAATTTAATAAAAAAATAGTTTTGCATGCCAATGTAATGAGTGGGATTCGAACCCAGGTTCTCGCGGGAATCGGCTCTGACCCCTGACCTCTGAGCCACCTGGCCACCTTCCAGACATGAATATGAATAATTATATTTCTTGAGTTGCATCGCGACCAGGACTCGTGGCACATCTTGTGGAATTTTGAAGACAAATATTGTCCAGGCCATCGGCCCCCAGCGCTTTCAAGACCAATATTATCACGCGACATTGGTTTTATCTGGATAATGCTGGTTACCGGTTTCGATTCAATGGGTCTCATCAGCAGAATCAGGCTCGTTACAACAAATGCTGCCGGATTATTGGGATGTAATCGGCAAGAGCAGCCCTATATGAACACCGGCACCTATCTGGAGACACGGAATGGAGGTACAGAACTCCTATGATCCGCGGTCCTATTACCCGTTAAATCATCTTATTAGCGGCAGCTGAAGGGTCCCCCAAAACTCATATTACCCACGGCCCTACTGCTTCTGTTATCCGCTATTTTACCGACAATGCATAGCGAAGTGGCGCCTTAAAAATCTCGTGGATAAGAGAAAGTCGCGCGGAAATTGAAACCTATTATCTGCCGGGGTTATCTAATACTCCTGTTATCCACGATTTCTTTACGGATAAGCAGAAGCCGCGCGGCTAATTGATCCTATTACCCGCAGGGGCTGTGATTACAGCTCGGCGAATGCGTCCCACCCATGTCACCGCGGACAAGAGGAGTAAAATCGAGGATTATAGGTTTAGGCGACAGGGGGGTAGTTTGGAGGGGTTATCCCCCGCATCACCGCGGTGCGGCTAAGAGGAGGAGTCGTGCCGCGGTGTTCGCCTGTTCCCACGACGCTCCGCAGCCACGCGTGCGGAGGCCGCGTTCATGGAACTGATCAGACGCCGTGCCGAGCTACGGGGGAGATGAGGAGGAGGAGGAGGGCAGCGAGGCAGTTCATTGTTACTTGACCAAGCGGCTGGCTGGTTAGTGGCAGTACAGCGAGGTGGACATACTGCGCTACCTCCCCCCGCCACCACCCACGACTGGCAGTGGAACCCCCCCTCCCCTTCCTCCCCCCCTCCCCTCCGTACGTGTTGCGATCAGCGATGTCGCTCAGGGAAGTGGGACGCCGAACGGGCGGAGGGGGATCGATCGATGATGGAATTGGAGCGTGCTCGCGTTTGTCGAACGCGCTTTGATCGGGGGCGCCTTACGCGCTACCACGTGGGGCCGCGCGAGCGCGCGCGCGCGTGCGTGCGTGTGCGTGCTACCACGTGGGGCCACGTCTCTGCGCTCAGGTGTAACGAACACAAACGAAGGTAAAAATTTTGCCGCTGCTGCTGCTGCTGCCTGCTGCGTGATTGGCCGTGAGCAAGAAGAGCAACAACAGTGACTCGACACGCGTCCTGTCCAACACAAGCACCACGCGTGTGTGCGTGGTGCGTGAGCCTTAAATGGAAAACAAATACATTACTGGCGACGCTTCGGGCAACGGCCCTTCTTCATAGCAGGTAAGTAAAGCCACGGGAGAGATCGAGCGGGTAATGATACACACCGTGGGGCATGATGATAATTTTTTTTCTATGTTTCCTGATTAAGGCGCTTCAATTGGCACGATGAACAGTTACACTCGGAGTCCCTGTTGAGAGGCGTAAGTCTCAAGGTGGCCCAAATAGGAGGAGGATATATATTGAATTGGCGACGTTTCGGGAAATTGCCCTTCTTCAGAGCAGAGAGATCGTCGCTGCTACCGTGCAGAGCAATGTCCGGGCAGCTTTATGGACGAATGTGGGAAGTGGTTTTTGTTTTGCTATTGGGAGTAACGGGTCAATTAAACTCGAACGCACACACACGCACACACACGCACACACACGCACAACAAGAACAAGCACCATTCGCCATTAAGTGGCGGTGACGTCACCACAACGCTTGTGCCAGGCCATGTGCACCTTGAGGCCACGTGAAGTGTCGAACGCCCGCGGGCAGGAGGTCACGGGGCAGACCCAAGTGCCACGGGTCGACTGACTAAGATGACTGAGATGACTGGCTGATGCACCACCTGTGCCCCCTACTGTGCCAACGTGCTGTGCTTTAGCCACCCGGCGCTCCGCTCGTTGTTGTGAGCGTCGCTCATCCGCCTTCCGTTGTTGTTGGAGGGCGACTACCTCCAACTGCCCAGTAGCGTCCTTCACGAGCCTCCTCCACAGAGGCCGATCTTGACACCGCTGGTACCAGTCATCGGCAAGTCCACACAGCTCCACGTCCTCCTGTACCACATCACTCCATCTCTTCTCTAGCTCGTGCCGCGCCCGTTTAGCCCCCTCGATCCGGCCGAACAAAAGCTGTTTCGGCATGCGGTGGCTGGGCATACGGGCTACATAACCCAGCCAACGCAGCCTTGCCTGCCGGAGGAGCTCACCGATGGGACCTTGCCCAGATCTTTCAAAGATTTGTGAGCTCTTCACACAATCCAGCCTGGTTAAACCCAGGATGGATCGTAGGCAGGCTAGCCTAAATGTTTCTAACCGGCGACGATGTTCCATTAGGGGGGTCCAGGTTTCGCAAGCATAGAGAAGGGAGGGAATGACCGTGGCCGAGAAGACCTGAAGCTTAGTGCGGAGCGACAGACCAGGTAGCTTCCACACAGCGTTACGCAACCGATGAAAAGATATTGCCGCTCGACTGATTCGGAGTGAGACCTCTGCTGTTAAACTGGAGCCGGTCATAAGCACACTGCCCAGTTATGGGAAACTCTCCACTCTCTCCACAACTGCCCCATCACCGATTTGGAGTTGTGGGGGTGGAGTGTCCGATGGTACAAAATACCCAGGCAGGTGCTTAGTTTTGGTGGGGCTGATGGTAAGGCCCCATCTCTTAGTGGCACGCTCCAGTCTCAGCAGCAGCGTCTCCAACTCCTCCTCTGAATGAGCAGCTATTACCAAATCATCGGCATACATAACGTGGTTGAGCAATAGGGAGCCATCCCTTCACCGCACCCGGGCATCGATCAGCCTCCCATTATATC